GTATCACACCGTGCTTGCCGGCGTCCCGACCATAGAGGACCTCAGGGACCGTCACATCGATCCACTCGACTGTGGGCACTGACCTGGACCAAATCCCCGGGCTTTATGTTGAATATTTTTGTCATATTGATGTGCTCTGGCTCCTTATTTTTTACCTCCTTGGGCATTGACGGCTCCTTCCCCACCTACTACCCACAACTCATGATGATGGTCCACCACCTCAGACTTGCCTTTAAAAACTCCTTCGGTCGGATCTTGGTACTCCGATTCCTCAGTTTGGTCCTCATGGCCTTCTCCAAGAAAGGCAGGTACTTCAATGCACTGACGCTGGTTGGCATTCTGAAACCCGGAACCTCTGCCACGAGCCACGACCCGATATTAGCCGAACAACACCACACATGGGCTCGTGGAAACACATCGAATTGAAGCAGTGAATGAAATCGATAATGACGAGCATGTCGATCACAATTTGGACTGTCCTACAGTAGCGCCTCGAGGTTTGGCCGTCGTTCTCCTCTCTCATAGAGGGGTTGTCCAGGATCCAGGAGGGAGAACCAGTTGAAGCACACTACTAGAGGAGATCCTACGGTCCATCCCTGACGGATGAGCAGCTGGATGTCACCTTCACGTTGTAGAGCGCCCGGTCGATTCAAGCCTACTACCAAATATGGTTAATGCGGAGTTCGTGTAATACCAGAGCCTCACCCAGAATCGTCGTATGCAGTCGAATACGCAGGGAGATCGTCCAGTAGGGAACCTAAGACAGCCTCAATATCCTCGGCTTAGACGGTACCAAGGTCGACTCCTGGGACGTTGCTTAACCACACTTTCCGCTAGTGCCGAGAGGAGCCTGACACTCATGGACCCCTGTTACTTTAAAGGGTCAATACTGCTTGGGGGTATCAGTGTGGAAGCAGGAACGACCTAACTTTCTGGTGATGCTAATGATTTGTTGGCGAGATAAAGTTAGTGGTTGCCACTTGCCCCCCTTATTTGTTTAAGCCAAGAGAGCGGTACGAACATATATCACCAAGGGGCCATCTTAGACGGCTTTCCCTTCTTGGGCACAGGTTCTCACGATCAGTGAAGCAAGTTACAGCGCATCATCTGCTGAAATAAGTGTCAAGTTCAAGCATTATCACTGGTGTATGTGCATAGTCACGCCGGCATGTGCGATCATATAAATGGCAACTAGGTGTCGCAGCTCGTGATGATTACGATGTGTGTGAGACAGTGACGTGGTTCTACTCTAATCAGATGAAACATGTTCACAGACAGAGAAGATCGTCAGGGGCCGTATGCGGATACTGATTCATGAATCTGAGTCCATGATTCTCGCTGCAGAGTAAAAAATCAGTGCATCAGGGGTTAATACTCTCCATATGACTTTTTCATCTGAGTAAATACTCTGACTCACCTGTTGCATCAGGATCCGTATACGGCCCCAGTTCGGCGTGAAGGCAGTAGACGCCTTCGCCTTCCCGGATCCAAGCAAGACCGAACTTTGGCGGACTCCCCGCTGGTACCAAGATGACTCCGCCGAACAGGTTACATCAATAGAGTTTTGGCAGAATATGATACACAAACGGTAACACGGCATTCTGAAGAAAAACATTTCCCCCAAACACATTACACCAAGACTGGACACGCGAGCACAAGCTGAGCTCACGAATGTGAACCAGAACAATCGTCCAGACCTGTCGGTCAAACAGGAACTTCATCTTGACATAAACTCGTAGGAGGGACAGGTTTCCGCGTACAGGCGAGCGCACGGCAATTCTTGCTGAATTGCCGTTATCGGGAATTTTCATGGAATGAGGTTGGTCTTTCTTCCTGAGTAGACGCGGGGTTGGTACCACTTTCTACCAAACATAGATATGGACAAGTGAAAACTAGTTTCGCCAAGTTTGGCGACTTGTCGAAATCTGGGTCTCAGAGATTGCCTTTAAACTGTGGTGGCCCATACCGGATTTTGTGTAACTTCCAAGTGGTATCGGCCATGTCTAATACTAAACGCTATCATCGAAACACTATGGCATTCAGACAGGCTTGCCGCGTCACCGCCTATCGCGGAGAAGACAATTTGCTTTCCATAGGCAGGTTGTGTGGGGATCTACTTCTGCATCCTGCTGGCCTAGAGTCCTTCCCACGGCTAGGGCACTCATTGATTGATGTTACTATATCGTGCTAGACATAGTGTAATGCCGCTGTCAATACTGCTATTGCTAACTTCTTGAGACGCCAACCCTCTACAATACCAACAGCGCACTCAGGGTTCATTTTGTCATAAGTCGGCGCCGATGTCAGAGCAACAACAGCAGCAGCAGAAGCTACGAATAACATGCAGTCAGCGAGCTCTGCTGTCTGACCTCTCTGTGTTGCTGTTGGAACAGTATGAAGGTAGTATAGGGAGGTCTAGTGTAAGGCATGGATGATGGTCATCATCATGGTACAGGGACGATTGGGGCTTCTAGTGATGAGGGAAGCAAGGAGGACCTTGATCCGATACACCGGTGGATAGGGTCTACCCCTGGGGCTATGGTAGGTGGGCTGCTGGGGCGGCACTCCTTAACGATGTCCATCACAGGATCTTCTCGTTGAACTAAGTTGCAAGACTGCTACTGCCAATGATGCTTGCAAGGCTGTCATGGCGAGTGATGATAGTAATCGTTCTCGCCCCGACACTGCCGAGGTGTATACTGCTGGTCCAACAGAAACTGGACAGTTGAAGAGCGCCGGCGTAGCTCTACCGGGTATGAAGGCACCAGCAGTGAAGGGGCAGTAGTACTGTACCTTGACTATTACAGGGTAGTGGGGCTCTCAGGGTCATGCAGCCTACCTTGGCTACAGTGCCGGAGCAAGCATCCCCAGCTGCGAACCCTCAAAAGACCGACGACCTTAGGGAAGGTCCTAAAAGCAAGCTGGTGAGAGTTTACCTTACCTTCTTGTAAAGGATGCGGTCCGCTCAGCTGAGCAACTTGGTGGATGAGCTGATCCTGCTACTATCTAACACGCCATGGATGTGTGCATCTTTGGCTCAGCTGCTACCATTACTCAGTGCGGCAAGCAAGGATCTTGTTCGACAGCAGCAAGTAGAATATTGGTCAAGTTACCTGCAGTATAGTCGATCATGCCGGTATTAGGTAACTCAGGGCGATCTCATATCTGCGTCTGGAGAGGACCTTACACTTGTCACGGGTACTGATATACTCGTGTATACGGGCGCGGTGGAGAGGATGGCCTCGCTGCTGCAAGCCCAACAACAACAACAACAACAACAGCAGCAGGGTACTCCTAATGATCAACAAGGACTACAGACACCTTTGGGATCATTACAACAACAACAATTTGTAGTAGTAGACCATATGAAAAAAGGGGAAAGGAGTTTGTTAGGTTTCGGGGTCTCCTGGGTGGCCATCAGGTAGCCCGTTTATGCAGGGTGGTAGTAATATAATGCTAGCTCAAAGTGGAGGGGTCCTGGCCTCTCCTCTACCACCACAACAAACGATACAACAGGTATGAGTAGTAGTGTATGATGGGGATGATAGGAACCAGGAACAGTTTGGTGGATCTTAGGCGATGCGTCTGCAGGCAGCCCATGCGGCGGCAGGAGGGGGAGGGTCAACCCCTGGAATGTTCCAGACTGAGCTCGCCAGGCCGCCGGTTCTGGGAGAAGGTGAGCTACTTGAGTTGGTGGGAGGCGGGAAGTGATAATGGAGTAGGTCACACTCAGCCGAAACGTGGCGTACTGGATATGAAGACGTTGGTCTCATCACCGCAGTTAGCGGCCCTTATTAAAGAGGTAACGATAGGGTACAGCTATCGTCATCATCATGAATGATAATAACTCGTGTTTTCGATGATTGATACCCAATCATTAATGTATATTCATTCGATAATGATACG